GAGTAACACACCCAAATGAGGAATGTGTTGCCTCCAAAATCCAAATAGGCCCACTAGGTGTTGGGCCTCTTTCTTGGTTGCAGGAAGTGCCAAATGCAACAACTTATCCCTCTCCTTAGAAGGACTATCTTGACAGGCCCCACACCACTGGACTCCCAGAAATTTTGCTTCGGTAGAAGGTCCCTGAAGCTTAGTCAGATTTATTTCCCATCATCTGGCAAGCAAATATTTCACCAATAAATCTAATGTGTTTCCTGCTTCTTGCTCACTGGGTCCGATTGGCTAATGTCGTCAATGTGATGGACGACTGTGATAGCTTGTGGAAAGAAAAAGTGATCAAGTTCTCTCCAAACAAGATTATGACACAAAGCCAGAGAGTTGATAAACCCCTGAGGTAGGACAGTAAAGGTATATTTTTGGTCTTGCCAGCTGAAGGCACATTGCTTCTGGAGGGCCTTAAGGACAGAAATGGAGAAAAAGGCATTTGCCAAATCAGGGCTGCATACCAGGTACCAGGAGATGTGTTAATTTGCTCAAGCAATGAAATCACTTCTAGAATAATACTTCGCATCCTTCAATCCAATCAAGTTGACGCTTAATACTAATCATCACCTACCCCCTTGTCCGCACCTGTGTGTGTCTATAGGCACACGGTGGAAGGCAGCGGCTATGGTAAAGCCTGATCCTGGGTTGTGGCACAGCTTAATAGCGTGATGAGTGTAGTTAATTAGCCCATCCAGATAAGAGACAGAAGCAAGAAGCACATTTCTGAGCTCCAGACAGTTTTGAGCATCAGTATAGTTTTAGAGAGAGTAAGACATTTTGAAATTATACAGTGATCGCTATTAAAGTGATAACAGCTGGTACCAACTTTACAAATCATGGAATTTTCTGAGAAAGATAAATGGCACACTTGTGAAACCCAGCCAGACTAATATCATCAGGATTAGAGCAGAAGCACTTAATAGTGTCAAGTCAACACATAGCCTAGTTGACCTTTCATAAATGGATGGAAACAAGTTTAGCAAACCCCAGCAAAATATATTGAGAGATAGGCTGGAGGTGAATGGTAGGAGGTCTGAGCAATTTTACTAACCCAGACAATCAGCAGTAATTGGTAAACTGCCTTCTCCCCTGAGAGCCTGGGGAGCTGTGTGGCTGCCCATTGGTAAGCCGGTGATTGCTTGGAGGGTTTTTATCGACTCTCTTTGCTGCTTTTTGGGTGTACTTCTCCCACGAGCTTTAAGAATAATGCCCATGAATCTGAACCTCGTGACTGGTACATGTTCACTGGCCTTGGCAATAAGTGTTTCAGCTTTGCTTTACTGTTTGTTTTCTGCCAATGCTGTGGCCTTCATGCCCTGCAGTATCTATCTGGCAGCCTGAGGCCATTATTGGGCAGCATGTTGCCATTTCCTCCAGCATTATTTCTTTTAAATACTTCTTACTGAAAATGAGCCACTTTGAGATGATTACACCATAGTCAACATCTTTCTGTGGGAGCCATAAGCAATTTTGTCTGTGTGTGTCTAGCTTCGGTCCCCGTTCTTTGTCCTACGTAAGGCACCTCTACAGGGCCCATCTTTCTCTGGTGCTTGGATACAGTTCTTTAACCAGTGATTTTACTTTTACCTCTGCTCACTCCCAGCCAAAAATCATCATTTAATTAGATCCCATGGTATGAAACACATTTCACAAGTGTGAACCTAAGCTTGGTACTTTAACTGAGCACACAGCTCACAGAAATCCCTGAGTGACCTCCCAGGAGACTGAAATCCAAGGGCAACAGGATCAAGCCCTCACAATGAAATGGGACGCAGGCTGGTCCGTCTTTCTCTGTGGCTCAGTAACGAGGCTTGTTATTTACAGTGCCCTCTTTACTTGCTGATGCTGTTAGAGTTTTTCTTTTCAATTTGGATCTTGGCCCACATTGTGCCCCTCTCACGAGGCACGTGCCATTTTGATTTTAAAATAATAGGAAGAATGCTCCGGCGCTGCTCGTTGGTGATACAACTCTCAAACTGTCTACAGGTTGCCGAGTAAGTGAAATGTTTTGACAGAGAGAAATATGTGTTGTCAACATTGCTTTACCCATGGTTGAGAAGAAAAATGGAAATTGTACTTCAGCAGGGTTCAGATGCTGATGACTGGAATGATCTCCTTGAAACAAATGACTACAGACCATTTTGTTTTCCTTTATGCCTCATTCTTCTCTAATGAAATGCCCAATTAAAAGCATAGCTTATGTGCTTAAAAGAAAAAGCTTAGAAAGGATTCTTGGATGGAGCAGTGACAGCAGCAATCCTTCACCACAGGAGAAAATCATAGTATCTTTGTAAAGAAACAATATCATGTTGTAAAGGCCAGTGGCCTGCGTGGCAATTTTAGAGGAGAGCCTAAATGACTGGAACCTTTTTAAGATAGAAAGGTTGTGTGTGTATTTCTGTGTGTGTGCGCATGTGTGTGTGTGTGTGTGTGTGTGAGAGAGAGAGAGAGAGAGAGAGAAACATGATTTATTGGTGATCCATCAAATGGCAGACTGGCTGGAAACAGAAAATAAAACAGTAGAGTGATACATTTAGGCAATTTGTGAATTTGTCTCTGGGATTAAGTGGAGTATGGAACTGTGCAGCTGTGTGTTGTCTCCTGGCAAAATGAGGTCCCTGTTTCTCTGCAGGCATGTTCCTGTCGAGAGCTTATTGGGAGTGGGAACTCAGACAGCTCACGGAGCCCTGCTGACCATTATCTTCACATTCGGTTCTGCGTTGTGGGAGCTGCTCTCTATTTTCTCGCTTAGTGAACACTCTTGATAAAAGAAAATGTTGACAGCTTTGTGTTTCTTGAGAATCACTAAGGAAACATTTCATCTTGTCAATCTCCTTTCATGTGCTGTGCAGGAAAAGAGAAAGGGAATATTGCTTTGGAGAATAGCCTTGACTTTCAACATGCATTTAACAATCAATATTTTCTTAAGTACCTACTATGTGCTGGAATATTTGCTAGTCATTACCAGTCAGACAAAGATGAATGTAGTTAAGTCCCTGTCCTTAGAGAGCTTAGCATATTTTCATTTTACAATCCATTGCCTCTTTAGAAGAGCTATAAAAGGGATATAGATAAAGTAATAAGGGAATTTGTATCGTTTGAACTTCTTCACATGGCTCACTCCATGGGTTCTGGAGCTAGGCAGATCTGAGTTTGAACACGATTGCCCATGACATTGGCTGGCACAATATATTTTAAGCTACATCTCCATTTCTTTCAATTTTTAAATGAGGATAATGACACCTACCTTGTAGGGCTGTTGGGAATGAGTAAATGAGATACTGTGTGTACAATGTAAGGCAGTGCCTGGTACCATGGTAAAAAAAAAAAATCAGTCAAGTGTGGTGGTGTGCACCTGTAGTCCCAGGTACTTGAGGCTGAGGCAGGAGGATTTTGCTTGAGCCTGGGAGGCAGAGGTTGCAGTGAACCGAGATCACAACACTGCACTCCAGCCTAGGTGACAGAGGGATACCCTGTCAAAAAAAAAAAAAAAAAAAAAAAAAAGAAGATGGCTTCTTCAGCCGTGTTGTAGCTCTGGCATGTAAAGAAATTTAATACATGGGAGTGACCATATAATTGTGGAGATTTTTTTTAAAAACTAATTTTTCAAAATTTACATGCAAGTGATTCTTGATTTCTTTAAAGAATGATAATACAGGAGAGGTGTTATTCAGAGGCTACGCACCAATATTTTGGCCTTTCTCTTTCCAGGAACCTGGCATGGTCACACTTCTCCAACCCCTTGGAGGTTGGGTATGCCATGTGACTTTATTTAACTATGGAATGTGAGCAGAAGTGACTTGTGTCACTTCCAGGAGAAAGCTTTAAAATATTCCACTTGTACTACTGCCACTGTTATGGAAGCAAATGTTGAGATGGGGCTTGTGTCAGCCTAGGTCCATGAGATATCACAAGGAATAGAGTCCCTGTGGTAATCCATGTGAAAAGTATAGGAGGGGTGAGAAATGGACTTTTTATTTTGCATTGTATCACTGAGATTTTGCAGTCCTCTGTTCATGGTCTGCCTAGACTAATATAGGAGATTGCACACCTACTGCAACAATTCTGTCTTCACTTAAACCATTTAAGGATTCTTTGGGTGGTACTGCTGTCAGGGGCAGTATCTGACAACCACGCTCTCATTGTAAAGCCATACTTCCTTTCCGCCCTGTAGTGGTATTGGCAGGCTTGACCCTCTGTTTTATTCATTAGATTTGACTCTGCATCTGGTGAAAAGAATAGATGGACTATCATTGAGCCTATTGGGATGAATATACCCTTCAGAAACAGCGGTATACAGAGGCTGGGGAGTGGGGGATATGGAGGCAGTTTACCCAGAGTACAGGCAATAGAAAGGTATATTGTCTATAGAAATGTTTTAAAAAATAGAACTCATTAAGATACAGTGTCTTTTGTATTACCATCACAAGTCTATAATTCTAAACAATTTTAGGGACAAAATACTCTTCCCTTCCCCACTCCTGTTACCCCCGCTCCTTGCACAACTACGCAGAAAGCAGTTACAATGAGGAGATTTCAAAACTTCTGAACAACGGAACTGTGAATTAGAATGTGTTGCCTTATTATGGTGAATGTTTTGAATAGATAACTTTTATTTGAAATATTTATTTAAAAGAAAAAAGAAAAATTATTCGATTTTAGGGTTGTTCTTGGTACATTAATTTGGATGTTGGCTTATAAATTTGTAGCTAGTCATTTGAATGTTTATGTAAATCTTTCTCTCTAAATTGTAATATCCATGAGGGCAGGGCTCAGCCTCGTTCATCCCTAGGTGTCCATGGGGTCTGGCCAATGCTGTAGTCCTGTACCCATAATTGAGCCCATGTATATATGTATATATATATATATATTATATATGCACACACACATATACATATACAAACACATATATGTACATATATATGCGCATATATATACACACATGTATACAAACACACATACACACACATATATATAGAGTCAAACTAGGCTAGCAGTGAAGACTTTTCTTTTGCTGTTTTGCTGGTTTTTTTTCAGTCATGTGTATGAGAAACAGGGCAGTAACTCTGGCCCACTTCTCTGACAGGTCCTCCTGTTGTTAATGCTGAGAAACTCCAGGAGCCTGCTATTTGGAGAGAGAAATGTGTTCCAGCTGCTGGTGCTAACAAAGATCTGAGGTTATACACACATGACCTGTCACCTACACCCACCCCATTGGGAGGGTCTGCCTCTCCCTGTGTCCACACACGCCTTGACTTGCTTTTCAGTGAATATCACTTTTCCTTTCGTGTTCTTTTCACACACTATTACCTGTATGAAATGAAGACCAAAAAAGGATGGGAAGAAGGAGAAGAAAAATTTTGGTTTATCTCAGAAACGATATCTTGAGAGTCCTAATCGCAGGTAGAATTTTGGTGGAAATCAGCAGAGTGATGGGGGCTGAGGAAACAATTTGAATGTTGCCTATTAGTCCAGGCTGGGATGGGAGTTGGAAATATGAAGGCAATTTGTCCAGGCTGCAGGCAATAAGAAGATATATTGACTATAGAAATGTAAATGAATATAACACTTACAAAGATTATATAATTGGGACTGGCCCACAATAATTGATGATCATGGGAAGTTCTTGGAGACCAGGTCATAGTGAACTTGGCCTTAGGGAAACAATTATCCTCTTGAACTTTGATTGTCTTATGGATCAGGTATGATAGTGAGAGGTGTGTGAGGGGATGCTTAGGCCAGAAGGAGTCTTAACCATTTTGAATGTCCACCTTAATGTTTCCTAGGTGAAGTTCTAAGATTTAAGGGAGCATGCACGGCCTCTGGCCTGTACAGAGTCCACCCCATCTTCCAGGGGACCTTGTAGATGGAGATTAGACTTTGGCAGGCCATCTTGTGAATTGGAGCCAGTGTCCAGCGATGGACAGATGTCATCTGGAACTTCAGATATAGCCCAAGTTCTATGAGAAGCCAGACAACCCAGGAATTTTCCTTTGTGCTTTTTTCCAGAAAAGTGTAGAGTTATTTTGAGCTCCTGGGGTAAGATGGTAGAATGCAGAGAAACTAGAAAATACCTACATTTCTCTATAGCAAGCTCTGTATATCTGGATTTGACAGTAAGAACTTGGTTGACTGATAAGTAAGTACTTTTGCACTCACAGACTTGACATGAGATTCAAATGAAAGAGGGACACAAATGTTTGGTTTTGCTTTGATTCCCTGAAGAATTCCTAGACTTTACAAATATCCTTTCTGGAAAGAATAACTGAGTGAGAAGCCCTAAAGTGATACTGAATAAAGCAAATATGTCTCACAGAATATCTGATTTATATATGTATGTATATATTTTATTACACTTTAGTTTCTGGGGTACATGTGCAGAACATGCAGGATTGTTGCATAGGCACATACATGGCAAGGTAGTTTGCTGCCCCCATCCCCCCGTCACCTCTATCTGGCATTTTTCCCCATGTTGTCCCTCCTCAATCTCCCTACTCTCTGCTGTCCCTCCCCCATTTCCCCCCAACAGACCCCAGTGTGTGATTCTCTCCTCCCTGTGTCCATATGTTCTCATTTTTCAATACCCACCTATGAGTGAGAACATGCGGTGTTTGATTTTCTGTTCTTGTGTCAGTTTGCTGAGAATGATGGTTTCCAGATTCATCCATGTTCCTACAAAGGACACAAACTCATTGATTTTTATGGCTATATAGTATTCCATGGTGTATATATGCCACATTTTTCTTGTCCAGTCTATCATTGATGGGCATTTGGGTTGGTTCCAGGTCTTTGCTATTGTGAACAGTACCACAATGAACATACATTTGCATGTATCTTTATAATAGAATGATTTATAATCCTTTTGGTATATACTCAGTAATGGGATTGCTGGGTCAAATGGTATTTCTATTTTTAGATCCTTGAGGAATCGCCACACTGCCTTCCACAATGGTTGAACTAATTTGCACTCCCACCAACAATGTGAAAGTTTTCCTATTTCTCCACATCTTCTCTAGCGTGTGTTGTCTCCAGATTTTTTAATGATTGCTATTCTAACTGGTGTGAGATGGTATCTCACTGTAGTTTTGATTTGCATTTCCCTAATGACCAATGATGGTGAGCATTTTTTCCATATGCTTGTTGGCCTCATATATATCTTCTTTTGAAAAGTGTCTGTTCATGTCCTTTGCCCACTTTTGAATGGATTTGTTTGATTTTTCTTATAAATCTGTTTTAATTATTTGTAGATTTTGGATATTAGCCCTTTGTCAGATGGGTAGATTGCAAAAAATTTTCCCCATTCTGTTGGTTGCTGGTTCACTCTAATGATTGTTTGTTTGGAAGCTCTGGAGTTTAATTAGATCCCGTATGTCTATTTTGACTTTTGTTGCCAATGCTTTTGGTGTTTTAGTCATGCAGTCCTTGCCCATGCCTATGTCCTAAATGGTTTTGCCTAGGTTTTCTTCTAGAGTTTTTATGGTGTTAGGTCTGATGTTTAAGTCTCTAATCCATCTGGAGTTAATTTTAGTGTAAGGTGTCAGGAAGGGGTCCAGTTTCTGCTTTCTACGCAAGGCTAGCCAGTTTTCCCAACTCCATTTATTAAACAGGGAATCCTTTCCCCATTGCTTGTTTTTGTAAGGTTTGTCAAAGATCAGATGGTTGTAGATGTGTGGCCTTGCTTCTGTGGCCTCTGTTCTGTTTCATTGGTCTATGTCTCTGTTTTGGCACTAGTACCATGCTGCTTTGACTATTTAGAAGACCCCATCGTCTCAGCCCAAAATCTCCTTAAATTGATTGTTAAGCAACTTCAGTAAAGTCTCAGGATACAAAATTAATGTGCAGAAATCACAAGCATTCCTATACACTAAAAACAGACAAAGAGAGAGCCAAATCAAGAATCAACTGCCATTCACAATTGCTACAAAGAGAATAAAATACCTAGGAATACAACTAACAAAGGAGGTAAAGGACTTCTTCAAGGAGAACTACAAATCACTGCTCAATGAAATAGGAGAAGACACAAACAGATGGAAAAACATTCCATGTTCATGGTTAGGAAGAATCAATATTGTGAAATTGGCCATACTGCCCAAAGTAATTTATAGATTCAATACCCATCAAGCTACCTATGACCCTCTTCACAGAATGGAAGAAACCACCATAAACTCCATATGGAACCAAAAGAATACCTGATTTTAAAAAAAAATTCTTGCTTTAGGAAACATTTTGTGTACATAAACATACACACACACACACACACACACACACACATATGGAATCTGTATATCTATATATATTTCTTGGACTTCTTATATTAAGTTTTGGTAGATAAGTAGATTTTAGGGACCATAATTACCATCATTTTACTGATGTAAAATCTTTGAGTAACTTAGGATATGATCATATGATCACTTTTGTTTTTGTTCATTTGCCGTTTGTTATTCAGACAATACAACTCCAAGTATGACCTTGGGCTCATTACTTAACAGTTTTAAGCCTGTCATCTATAAAATGTCAGGGTTGGACCCAGTGACTTCTGAGGTCCCCACTTGCTTGCTCAGTCTCTGATTTGGATGCATCGAGAGACAGCTGTCACAGGTGAAGCCATGTGTGCCTCCCCCATATCCTTCCCTTCCTAGAGCTTCCATTTTCCTTAGTGCTGGAGAAATGCCATTTTATAGATACATGCTTTAGAACAGTATTTTCTCTTTTCATTGTAAAGGAAGGTCTTGGACTTCGCAAAAAACATTCTGGATAGAACGGAACAATTAAAGCCATTTTCGAAACATTATTTTTAGATCTGCACGTTATTTCACTAGCCCTACTTTGTCTCTACTTTGTAAAAGGATTTAGACAGCTTGTTTTTTTGTCTTTCATCAAATATCTTTTTCCCTTCCTGTTCAAAATAAGTTCTGTTTCCCTTTTCCTGGCTAGATGAAAACCTGTGAACTCTGTGCTTCCTGATATCAACCCAACGGTAGTGGTAGAGGGGTTCATATCACTCCAGATAGTCAGTTTCAAAGAGTAGTTTGGAGACTGTGGGATGAAAAACAAGCTTCAGTTTTCCTCTTCAGATCTCTCCAATACACACTGTCTGTGTATTATTTCAGAGAACCCATTCAAAATAGACTGTTTCCTTGCCTGACTCGGCACCAGATCAAGAAGTGGCACATAATGTATTGTTGTGTTTATTATGCGTCGTTTTGCTGCTGACACTGTGGCCATCAAATATTGGAAAATTTACAGCCAAGGAGGTCCAGCCATCATGCCTGAAGTGAAGGATGAAGTATTCTGTTATTCATCTTCAGCTCTGGTCCTTTATGATCAGACAGTGAACTATATACTTATCAAAGTCAAAATAACCTTCACTTTAGAAAACACACTTGTCCTTAATGGACAGAATAGGAATGCATAAACAGCCTCTCTCTTGATAATGGAATGGAGGCTGAGTTGATGTAAGTTTTAAGTATTTTGTAATTTTCCAATTGTGGTGTGCTCAATTAAGTTTTAATGCACAAATTGTGTATGATACTGGCAAAGAGAAAAAACATTTGTAGTTTTAAACTATACAATGTAAATATGTACATCATATTTATGATATAGACATTAGTGCTATGGTTTTTTTTCCCTCTGAGTCAAAGCTAAGGCTGGTAGTCCTATTTCTATGGCCTGTTAAACAGCAGTTTAGAACTTGGATGCTGAAACTGGAGAGACGTAAGTCTGAATCCTTAACTAGCCCTGGAACACAGGCATTAGCTTTAGTTTATTCCTCTGTAATAATAATTATAGTACCTACCTTCTAGGCAGGTGTAGTAAGAACTGAGATTGTACATGTTGAAAATGCTTAGTACAGTGTCTGGTACATTATGAAAACTCAAGGAATATTTGCCATTGTGATTATTACTCCCTTCTTTCTATTATTGTTAAAAACAGCAGTCCATAGAAAACATATATTTCCAAGTCCTTCATGTAAAAGCGGCAGGAATGGAATGTGACCTGTATTTTACGGGTATATAGGTATGTTATGGTATTATGCAGCTTCTGGGAGACATATAGTTATGAGAGCGAGACAGAGATGACCCAGAAAGCAGAAGGCAGCACTGAAAATGGTTCTTACTTGAACAAGCATTTGTTTAATGTGCTTACTCAAGATATACTTTGTACAAGATATAAAATAGATCTTAGAATTAATGAAATCTATATAGTAGCTATATGAGCATTTAAAGTTATGGATGTTTATTTGGAAATAAGCAAGTTTTAGTATGTGAATAGTAGCCCCATGTCTACAAGTTGCAGTGTGGCCAAATGTAAATGACAGAACAAATTTCAGAAATGAGCTGTAACTCTATTTTAGGAAAGAAAAGGAGAATCTCTGTAATTTGGTCTTTGTTCCCAGCTAAGGCCTGGAGGTGACATTAATTGACAAATATCTTCTAAGCCGTAAAGTCAGGATGACAGCATTTGCTTTCTTCGGTTGTCAAAAATCCTCTGTAACAATGGTGGGTGAGTTGTTGGTGAATGGAGAAATGGGCTTGAGAGATACTGGGAAAGAAAATGACTGGCAATTTTAGTTCCAGTGTAATAGGCCTGAGAGTTTTCTTTGTTGTTATTTTTGCTGTTTTTTTCTGGTGTCATTGTAAAATTAAGTATAGGCAAATGTACTGTTAATGGGTTATAATTTCAGACCAATAGTCTATTCAAAACCACAAGACAAGTAATAGAGGGCTCTATTTGATAGGAAAATTACAGTAGGGTTATTTTTATCTCTTCCTTTCCCCTGTCTTCAGACTAAGTAGAATAGACAGGTAAAACTGACACCAAAAACAAGTCTTACCCAAATCCATTGTAAAGTTCCCATTCAGGTGTGTATTACATAAAAATTGCTTGGCTTTCACAAGAACCACCATTCTGAGAAGAGGAACCATGATGCATATTAATAGGTGAAGAGAGCTTCCTTGGGAAGGACCATAACCTTGGAGGCCATAAACTCTGGACTTGGATTTCAGAATGAAAGAGCTATGAAAGCCCAGAGTGCAGGGTAAGTTTGAGTTGAGACAAGTAAATAAAGTGTTTTGTCCTGAATTGCAAAGTACAGTCAATGAACTGTCTACTGGGCTCTGTCACCTCCACCCCTACCTC